AATCGGAACAGATACAGGGTGGTTCAAGATTGTCCCGAAACGTCCAAAGATAAGTGAAAATTTGATATTTTCTCTATATACCTTTATTTCTCTTCTCCAAACTTTTTTCAATTCAAATTGTCACTGACAAGCTGGTGTATTTTTCATTTAGGCTCTCTGATAGGAGAATTCTTTAAACGCAAATCATCTGATTTGTCCTTACTACACGTATATTGAAATAATATTCATATTTTTATTTTATAGAAACGAGGAGAGAAAATCCCAAAAAATTTGGAAAAATGTCAGTAAAAGTATAATTTTTGACGCATGCTGTCAGTGTCTAAAATGTCAGTTTATGACACTGGTGTTAAAAGTAAATCACTTTTAGCACTAGTGCTAAAGTGATTTATTCTTATGAGAAAATATGTAAACATAATTCGAAATGAAGTGTTTATCCAATTGAGAGTACAATTAGCGAAACTACAATTATAATACGAAAGTCCATGGCCAGTCTCATTGGTAGATGTGACAGAATTTATTTTCGTGAAGCTTGTACCAGGGCAGAGAGCAATATTATCTGCCGAAGTTTTTGACAAAATTTGATCTGCTACTGTACTGGACTTCCATCCACCATGTCTTTTAATTGTAGTAAGACTAGCACCAGAGTCCGCCAACAAACTAGCTGAGGAACGTCGGAAACAATGTCCAGTATATAGATGGGAATCAGGAAAATTTAGAAATTCGGCAATTTTGGCAGACATCTTACCAAATGGGTTGATTCCAACTTTATTCCTGGCACATTTATTTTCAATGCATTTTGTAAAAACTCTAGAATGATTAATATATGATATAATATTAATATTGTAGTAGTTCATATACAATGTACCACTTACAACAAAGGTGCGTTGCACATCAGTTTTTGTGTCTGTTATATGCACAACTAGTGAAGTTCCGGAATCCTCGATATTATTTAATGTCAAATCGCACGGTTCTTCTCGACGACAGGCTCCAAAAACACCAAAAATCGCAGCAACTTTCTGCATTAGATATATTTCATCTGGGGCTTCTGCGAGAAATTTGTCGATTTGTTCTCTTATCAATACTTTCAACTTTTTTGGTCGATATCCTCCACCCTTTCGCTTCAAAAAAGCCACAAGCTTGTGATATCTGCTTATGTCATGATCATTTATGTTCATCTTCTACTTTAACATAGAATTCGACCAAAGCGTTGACGATTTCCATATTTTGGACTTTTCTTCAAAGTATGCAAGAAGCACTTTTTCACTGGCCTCCTTTCCACTGACATTTTTCTGATCACACCATTTCGAGAAACGTTCGTATGAAAACTGGTACTGTCGCTTTGACTTACTAGGCAATAATTCAAAAACAGCTTTATAATTGGCAGCTTCTTCAATTTGCGGCGGAAGAAATTCATTTTCTTGGGCACTTTCCATCGAGGAAGAAACGAGAAAGAATAATTCGTGATTTATTGACGTTAGTTGTCAAGAAAGATAAATCAACAAATTCATGAATAGATTAGATTGAATTGGATTCAAAACTGATAATCTCGAGGCTGTTATTTAATCAATTAATAAGTAATGTGAAATAGTTATGCGTTAATTTGGACTTTTAATGGTGTTTGTAGAAAAAATAGTGTATGATATATGTGCTAAAAGTGTTTTTTTCTTTTGTTCGAACTTCCCTTTTCACAAAATAAAATGTCACTTTTAGCACGTATATCATAAATAACTATTTGATGTTGTTATAGAAAAAAAAAAGAGATTATTATAGTTATTTATGTATCAAGGGAATTATGAGGGCCTTAATTACCGATGGCAAAGTTTGCGTCCCGAGGGCCACTGGCCCGAGGGACAGCATTTGCCAGAGGTTATTGAGGCTCTATAATTAATAATAATAATAATAATAATACGTCTTTATTATTTTCAATTAACAAAAAAAAACTACAATTTGTATCCATAATGGTTTAAACAAAATAAAAGGCGAAGTTCAGCTTTCATTTAGCAGAACTAAACGAAAGCTGTTCTTCCACTTAACCTGAAAAAATTCCCTGTGAGCGAGCAAACAGAGAGACAGGGAAAAAAATTGAAAAATAATGAAAACAGTATCATGTATAGGTGAAAGGGGAAAGAGAGAGAAAAATAAAGAAATTTATGAAGGTAGTGTATGGTAGTGTATGTCCGATCAATACTACTAAATGCTCGATAATTATTGATGGTAATTCAATAAAAATGTATTTAGTTCCATTTTGAATCTTGAGGTTTTCAATAATTTGATTTCCTTTGGAATAAAGTTATAGTTTCTACATATGTGAAAGCTGAATGATCTCTTGAAGAATTCGGTATTGAATATGATACCATATATCAGCCGAAGACAAGAATTTTGTACTGTCTGAATTTTACGCTTATATATGTCAGTTAAATGGGGACCATACAGAGCGTCAGCATAGTTGAAGTGCGATAGCACCAATGCTTCACAAAGTGATATTTTTAATTTTGAGGATAGATAGTGCCTGTTTCCATATATCAGCTTGATTGAAGCGTAAGCTCGTTGAATAAGCTTTCTTACATGATGCTCAAACCGCAAATTAAAATCCAGAAGCACGCCAAGATTTTTTGCAACATCCACCGTATCAAGCCTAGAGCCCATCACATTGATAACAATATTGCTATTTACCGTACTTCTCATATGTTTAGGACCGAAGGTAATGACGTTAGATTTATCAGAGTTGACAATAAGACAATGATCAGTTGCAGCTTTAATAAATGAATTCAATTCATTGTTGATTACCTGACTAGCATTCTCATACATAAGTGACGGAAAACTATAATATATCTGTGTGTCGTCAGCATACAGGTGTATATTGCATTGATTGAGACTGTTTATGAGATTGAATGTGTAGATACTGAACAGTAAAGGCCCCAAAATAGATCCCTGAGGAACACCTGATTTGAGATACATATTTTCTGAATTAGTACCATCGATACAAACTTTTTGTCTTCTATTTCTCAAGTAGTTCTCTAGTAGTGTAACAGAGTTTTCAGAGAATCCTATGTAATGGAGAATGTGAAGGAGTAATCCATGATTAATCGTATCGAAAGCTCTACTAAAATCCAATAGTACCAATACTGTACAGTAACCATGGTCTGTCGCTCTAATAATGTCATCCACAACGTGCAGCAAGGCGGTTGTGCAACTGAATCCTTTCCTAAATCCCGACTGTACTGGCGGTAGCAAGTTCTGTTCAGACAAAAACTCTGAAATCTGTTTTTCAATGGCCCGTTCCGCGATTTTTGAGATTGTAGGTAATATACTAATACCACGAAGGTCTTTATATTCTACAGGATTTGATTTTTTTGGAAGAACTCGAACAACTGCCTCTTTCCAAGATGATGCAAAAACATTTTCCAGCAAACAGAAATTTACAATATGCGTAATGTAGGGCACAATATGTGGGCAACATAACTTGATCAATTTCATGTTTAGTCCATCCATACCAGTTGCATTACTCTTGATTTTACAGAAACATTCATAAACAAATAAATCATTTATTTCTGTGAAATTGAATTGGGAGTTGATAAGGAGATTATTTTTGTAGAAACTCACGAGATTTTCTGGAGGAGACATTGCAGGGATAGAGTTTATCAAAAAATTATTTATTTCATTCACTTTTTTCAACTCTTCTGGGATACCACTCCCTTTATTATGTAACAGTTTTGTGTCTTTCAAAATTTTCCATGTTTCATGCGACCTGCAATTATTTAGTTCATAACTAAAATATGCTTTTTTTTCGCGGACGATAGCTTTTGTTGTATAATTTTTCATATCTTTGTAAAAGCGCAGATGTACCTCCGACTTCGTTCTCCTATATTTTTTTAAGGCTTTATCCCTGATGGACATCATCAGTTTGATGGTGTCCGTTAACCAGGGAGCCTTAGGCTTTGTTACCCTTGAAGTTATGAAAGGAGCATGTCTATCGAATAAATCTGTTATACAATTAACCAGCATAGAAACTTTCTCATCTACATTTTCCTGGTCATATATCCTGAAAAAGGGTGTATTAAAAAGATCCAGTCTGAAATTGTCCTCATTGAAATATTTGAAACTGCGATATGTACACATTTTAGGTCCTTCCGCAATTTCATTCATGTTCAGTTTGAATTTTAATAGATGGTGATCTGAAACACCCTGTATATCGACGACTTCACATTCTTTTATTTTTTCCTCCCCTGATATGACGAAATCTATTAGAGTTGCAGAATTATTTGTTATTCTAGTTGGAAGGTCTACATACTGTTTGAGATTGAACGAGTCCAAGAGAGCAAGAAAGTTATCCACCCTACTGTTATTCAGTTCGAACAAGTCGATATTGAAATCCCCAGAACACACAATATCATCCACTGTTGGATATATCAAACTCAACGTATCCTCGAATTCTGTGAGAAAATTAGACAAATTACCACTTGGCGGTCTATATACTAGTCCCAACGCCAACGTTTTATTCCTTATTTTAAGTTTTAGCCATAGTTGTTCATGAGAGACCGTTTGTACATTCATTATTTCACTATGAAATTTATTCTTGAGATAAATTAGTAATCCACCACCCCTAGTGATTCTATCAAGTCTATAAGATTTGTAACCTTCAATATTCAAAATTTCATTTTCAATATTAGCTGTCAACCAAGTTTCACATATAAGAAAGAAATCGAAGTCGTTCTCCAATACAAGTAACTTTATTGTCTGTAATGAAGGTAATATTGATCGGACATTGTAACTACCTATGAACAAATTACAAATCATCAAAAGTTATTTCCCTTTTCTATTCCCCAGTAGAAAGAGAAACACAATTTAACAAAAAAAACAAAAAAAAAATGTATATGTATCCTGAATACTGAAACAAAAACTGATGAGCACTTGTTGCAGAGAACAAGCTCAACTGCTCTAGTGCTTTCCAATTAATCTAATCTAATATAAAATGAAATAGTACAGCAGACTACCAATCAACAATAATTCAACAGTAACTGGGTTTTCATTGTGAAGCCAAAGAAGAAAAATATAAAAAAAAACAAAAAAAACAAATGAAAAATACATCCGGAAAGTAACAACTTAATATAGATTTTTTCCTTTATCTATATAGGAGGAGAACTAAGTTTAGTTAGATCAGCTCATTAATGTTTTCAATTTTTTTAGGTTTAACTTCACCATTGCCTAAGACAAAAATTGAACCAAAGTTAGTCCAGACTTTTCCGTTTGATCCTGTTTTATGCAAGCATGCCTTCAGTAGCTTCAACTCCTCAGTCGTTAAGTCCTCCCTTATAACAACACCAGTGCCTTTCAAACGTTTTTTGTTGTTGAATACTTTATTTCGGTGATATAACGACGAGAATTTAACATATAAGGGACGTGCCTTATTCCTTTGCCGGTCACCTAGTCTATAACAGTTTTCAATGTGATAATTTTCCAAGTGAACTCCCAATTTGATTTCACAAAACTTTAGAATAACCTCTGCTGAATTTTCCTTCTCGCTCTCATTCAAGCCATATATTCTCAGGTTTTTATTTCTAGAGTGCTTCTCAAACTTTTCTTGTCTTTTTACTAGTGATGTGATGATTCCCTCTTGACTTTCCAGTTTGGCATTGAGTTTGATATTTTCATTTTTGAAAGATTCAAGTTGTTTATCGAACTCTTCGCGCATACTTTTTGATATAGTTTCAACCAGTTGTGATATGAATTCTTCGGACGAGCAGAGTTTGGTTACAAGCCCTCTCACTATTGACTGCAGTTCGTCTTCACCCCGTTTGCTAGATCGAGCGGTCATTTTCAGATGTAAAGAAAGAATGACTTACAGTTGATAACGATTCCCGTGATACATAGATAATTTTATTTCTGACTGATTTAATTCATTAGATACCTTCCCGATTGGAAGTTAGACATGTTTTTCCGTATAGTTTCAATGCCATCAGAACGTCAGATGATGATCTTGACTACCGCGAATGGGAGATTCCTTATTGCTACGTTATTGCGTGGTTGTTGCTATGCATTTCTTATTTAAATTTAGCTAGAGGGAATTATAGCATCTATAACATCCCAAGGGAGTTATGACCCTCATTATAGATATCGTAACTATGACGATATAAGCTTATAATGTCACTGTCAGAAATAAAATAATAAACAACGATTGAAATTAACATCCATCACAATCAATTTTGCGTTTTGGTGAATTGCCTATGCAAATCTAGAACAAACAGAGGCAGAAGCCCAACACCCACTGTATCTTTCAACGAACATCGACAAATTCAATAAATTCGGGCTCCGTCACCGAGACAAACCAATCCGATTGTTTGCACCGAAGTCGATAAAGTATTTCTGCAGAGCAAATATGATATACTCACCAAGAAGGGACAAAAAGGAAAAAGGATAAAGCTAAGTTTGTCACAAATATTCGATTAAACCCAATAAATCTGTAACTCCGCATTCAAGAAACCTCGTTCGAGAACAGGTGGGAGTTAAACTGACTAGGAATCCGAAGCAACAGGTTAAATGAATAGTCCGGTCAAAATGATGATACTGGAAATAGGCTTAGCATATTAGGATTCCCAGAGGAAAGTTTTGGTATAGTATTGATTTTCTCACCCCCTATGTTTTTAAGGTCGCTGATCATGAATTTGAAGTTTGCTGGCAAAATTTTGGCCCGGAACTTTGTTCTTTTGACACTTTTTGCACAAATTTTTGCACTTTTTTCAGTTTTGGGCCTATATCTCAGAAAGAAACTGTTTTTTCGAAAAGAGTGTTATTTTCAAAGTTAGTGTTGACAAAATTTCCTTAATTTTTTGTATATTCCTTTTTTTTGTAAGACCAACCATTCTACCGCTAGAGCGCGCCAAAATAGACATATTCCCGGACCTAGACCTGCATTAGTAATGAATATAGGGAGAGTAATTGAAATAATGGAACGAACGAATGAAATGCAGTCATCACTTACTAAAGAAGATATCTACAGTGCACTGTCGAAAGTATTATAACATGTACCTACTCATATTATTAAAATTATGAATATCGCCTCTGTCTTAAATTAGACTAAGTACATACATATTATGCTCCAAGAGTGTGATTGTCGTTTTCAAGAAAGGAAATGCTACAAACTTTCATCCTCCTTGTCCATACTCTTCTCGATGGTCTCAACTACCGGGGAGAAGGTAAAGCCCAGTTCGTCCTGTACTTCAACGTCGAATGGCCCGTCAGGTTGACCAGGAATCTCTACCCTGTTGCTGCAATGCTTTCTGGCGTTGCCTCAGGGTTTTTGAACACACTCACAACATCAGCAAGGTTGGGGTTTTTGGTGAGAGTTTTCACGAACTTTAAATTTTTTTGGTTATAAGGTGCTGAAGTTGTATCACAACCACTCAATGCATGAAGAAACATGATGTGTTCTCTTATGGTTTTGTTTGTCAGAGCATGCATAGGAGAGTAGGTGGTTGGAGGAACATTCCCCTTCCCTGGTTTCAGAAAGAATACGTTATCTCGTAGACAAATACCGTAAGGATGACCAACAGTCTCAGTACGTTCAGCCAAAGACAGGGCTTCGTTGACAGGTCGACCAACAGGTCGATGTCCTCTCCAACAACCACCACCTTAGTCTCAGTACGTTCAGCCAAAGACAGGGCTTCGTTGACAATGACGGTATCGGCATCTTCTGTGGCCTTTCTCCATATCATGTAACTTTCCTATGATCATGGAAATCAATCTTCTTGCGTTGTTCGTATTGGATAGGAATTTTTCTTTCTTCATGGTAGGTATCATGTTCTCATCGAAGAGAATGTCTGCGGAAATCGATTTCATAAACCTCTTCAACCGTTCAGGACTTTTTGTTCTACCTTTCGAACCTTTTGGATATCCATCGAATACAACTACTGTTTGTGGCCCATAGATAGTAACGACGTAGTCAACATACCTGTTACATATTGCAGAAAAGGATTGCTTCTCGGGCCAAAAAACTTTGTGAAGTAAGAATCCACCGCCGATGACATATTGCACTTTTCCGCTGAACGACTTATTTTTTATGGGTTCGAATAATGCTTTGTTCCCTTTCTTGAACCATTTTCAAATAAGGAGGAAGGAGTACGGACCCCGATCGTAGGACAAGAAAAATTTTGAACTTCAGATCATTATACATACAAAACACGAGTTCATTGAATCATTTATGACCAACATGATCAGTGAATTTCACTAGATATGGGAATATAGCCTTTTTTTGCGCTCTCTAGCGGCAAAACAATCAGTCTTACGAAAAAATGTTATGCATAAAAAAATTTGGAAATTTTGTCTCCTTTCATTTTATACAGCATGCTCTTGTCGAAAAAATACTTCCTTTCTGAGATATAGGCCAAAAACCGAAAAAAGTGTCAAAATTTTGGCAAAAAGTGCCAAAAGAACAAAGTTCCGGGCTAAAATTTTGCCAGCAAACTTCAAATTCATGATCAGCAACCCAAAAAACATGGGTATAGAAAAAATCAAAACTATAGCAAAAGTTTCCTCCGAACCCCCTTCATTTTCCTAATATGCTTAGCCTAAAATATTTAACAGCTAGTGAATGAAACACTGAAACATATCAATCTGCAGCTGCTTCATTTGATATTTGAGGGTATGCACCTGTGGTATGCACTCAATCTAGTTCATTTTGCAGGGAATACAAGGGTTCTCTCAATCTTTCATTTGAGGAGTGTGGAAATGAAAGTAAATGCTGGAATTTTTTTCTCGAACGCAATAGCAACGTTTTCAAAGCTTGTTTGGGGCTCAGCTTCAAAAACTTATCTCCATACCTTAGATGTCATGCAGAGAAGATATTTGAAATTCATTTTTTCCGACAAATGAATTACTGAAACGAAAATATGTAATATCAGACAATTGTATTATACCACTGCTGTTGCGTGCGACACCACTTACACAAGGAATTTTCCCGAATACCGGAACACGAAAACAATACTCTAAAAAAACAACACTATATCATTCCATTCATGTGCAAAACAACTACTTCAAGGTCCTACTCTCACCTCGCCCCAAAGTTATATAACAGTATTCCGGAGAAATGGGCATGTACACCTTAGTAGAACTTTTAACTCAAACCATCTTTATAATGATCCTTTTATACATAAATAATGATTGACGACATAATTCGATCGAAAAATTAACTGGAATGTTTTATTTTTGGACATAAATAATAGTACCTTCTGAAAACGGACCCTCTTATGACGTAGAAACCTCATCTCGCCATAGTTAAATGAAAATACCAAACGCCCGACGGAGACGAGGCAACTGATATATTAATTCTTTCAACTGTGATCTCGAGCTAATTCACTCTGTCAGAAATCATGTATCATTCATCTCTGTCTGGAATAGTCTTGTTTCAGTATTAGGGTTTTGACGTCACATCACCACCTCGTTTTCAGAGGTCCGAAAAATCGGAGATTTCAATAATTTTTTATCAAACGTAGGGAGCTCACAGCAAGAAACGGTTTGGCGTTGTGAGCTAGTTTGGGTGAGTTCTATCGAATTATGAAATAAAAATTTTTTGTGATAAAAGCCCATTGCTGATCAATATAAACTGGTAGATCTGTGCATCAATATTTCGATAATTGAAAAACAGAAAGAATTTTACGTCGCTATGTTTGAACCTAAACCTTGATCTTCAATTATACTCTTTATATTATTTATATACCTATTAACGATTTTCAGTTATTTCATACATTTTGATGTTATTTAAATATTCCTTATTCAAAATTTGTCATACCAAAACAAGTGTGTATACACTTATCGGATATTGCTTTGTTTCACAAATAATGTGATAGATGTGTTTTTGTATTTTATAAATTTGTATCTTCTATCTCGTATTTTGAAATTTTGTATATTGTATCTCTACATCTTCGTATTTTTATATTTTCATATTTTTGATTGTGTGAATAAAAGCGTATTAATCGTTATTATTATTATACATTAGTAATTTTCCTAACAAGTGCGGAAAGTGATTCTTTCCCGCACGCGACTGCCGTTGACAAGCAGTCGAGTGCGGGAAAGACACTTTCCGCATGAGTTAGGAACAATATTTTTTCTACAAGCGTAGGAAATTGATTGATTCGTTCAATTAATTATTCAAGCAAATAGGAACAACTAACAAGAGATATATATTCTCTATCTACTAATTATTAGTAATAGCTATTGTGAACTTGAACTTACAGTTTGACCTATTATGTTGGTTCACTGCGGAAGCCAGCAGGCCCATAAGTAGTTTGGTCTCTAGGTTTCAGACACTTCTATGAAATGAGCCAAAAATACCTATTCTTCATTCGGTATTTTCATTTCTTTATTGTTGCACCATTCAATAAAACGCGTGTATATAGCTTCTCATACCTTTCTTAAGACTTCGTTGGTGATAACGCATCTGTATCGAATCCCTATATATAGCTAGAAGTTTTTGATCACATTGTGGCATTTCCACTGAATCGAAAATGACAGTAACGCTGTGTCTGTCACTTCGACAATTTCAAACTTATTTGAGGTTTGATTGGCATGACAACAATACTCGTTTCCCGTCAGATCAATCCAAATCCATAGGAGGATTTTTATAATAATCAATTTTTATTTCTCAATATTCCTTAAATTTTACAATGAATAGTGCAATTTGATGGATGATTCTGAACATACATA